TTGCTACATGGTAATATTAGTGCAAGTGGCATAAGATACTCTTTAGTTTTTTTTAATCATAAAAATTGCTTTCCTAATAATTGAGGAAAAAAAATTTTAATATATTAATATGTTTTAAAATTTCCATTTGTAATTATCTTTTTAATTTAGCTATAAAATTTTTATCCAAAAATTAAAGTTATTATTTATCCTATAAATCTTTAAATATTGTTAACATATAAAATATAAAAAATAATTATCAGGAAGTTTGTAATGCTCAATCATTAAATGATTCAAAATCTTTCAATGTTTTTTCTTGGAGAATATAATCACATTTATCTCACCATATCTCTTTTTCAAAAATATTATCAACGCTTTCAAATCTCCATTTTCCAACAGATATCAAGGATCTTTCTTTTTTAAGTTTGATTAACTGGTAATTAAGATAAACCCATAATTTACCTAATAATAACACTTAAAGATTTGGGCAAGAACAAAATTTGGCCATCATTCTAGATTGATTATTGTGGCACAGTTTTTTTTTAAAAAAATTTGCATAGGTCTCCCCTCCTTTTGAATAATTCTATAGCTAGATACCTTTTGTTGTCTAACTATAGATTCCTCCAGAAAATAATCAAAATAACGTAATGTGTGAATAAATTAAAAAAATGAATTATTACCAATTTCTATGAATATAAATAAAAAAATATTTAAAAGAAATCCCTTTATATCAAGCAGCTTGGATGAGAAACGAAATAGTTGATCTCATGTCAAGAGTTGAATATAAGTTGGCGAAAGTTATAGCATTATGATTACCTTGAATCAGTCAGCATCTTTCGTGAAAAAGAATAAACAATTTTTTCTATATAAATATAAATAATTATGGTTATTAAGCTAAAAAGATTTTAAAAATATTAATGTGAATATTGTAAGGTTGGAGAAGTTGTATAATGTGTTTGCTAATATTAATATGCTTGTAATCATCCATAACATTTATTTCATTCTATTTATAATATTCATTAAAAAAAAATTTTTCAAGAAATGATCTATGATTATTACTATAATCATGTAGTTATCTACAACTTTGCGCAGCATTATGAGAATATCCAATTTTATTGGTGGGTTGGGTGCATTTTAGATTTGGCGATTGTGGATATTCTTGTGGATAACTACATGCTAATAAAATTACTGAATTAATTATCCATGCTTTATTATATTATCAATCCAATTATCAATATTATAATCACCACCAACAACATAGCTGTTTATAAATATATTGTTGTGGGTATAGTTGTGATTCTGTATATTTGATAAATAATAATTGATCTTCAATATATACAGAGTCCAGACATACAGAACAAAATATACAGAAAGGTTCTGTTTATTTTGCAAATAATAATTGATCTTCAATATATACAGGACCCAGACATATAGAACAAAATATACGAAAGGTTCTGTTTATTTTGCAAATAATAATTGATCTTCAATATATACAGAACCCAGACATACCAAACAAAATATATAGAAAGGTTCTGCATATTTGATTAAATAATAATTGATCTTCAATATATACAGAACCCAGACATACCAAACAAAATATACAGAAAGGTTCTGCATATTTGATTAAATAATAATTGATCTTCAATATATACAGAACCCAGATGTACAGAACAAAATATACAGAGTAAAATATACAGTCCGGCCAACTTATAACACTACTATTGTTAAAAAGTAATTTAAGGGTCATGGAAAATTTCCACAAAAAGAAAATCAATATGAAAATATTGGTAATATATTTAAAGAATTCAAACCAGTCTAATTTGATAAAGTGTTACTATTTAGTACAAATAAACCAGAAGAAATTGTATTAGTCTTAACATTAAATAAATCACCATCTTCAAGGCTCAGACACTTGCTCATACTATGTATTTATGAAAATAATTGTCACTCATTGTGATAAGATATACTAGGATTTTTATTATTATTGCTCGAGTTTACAATAGAAGTAACGTACATACATTTTTGTGTAGTTAATACAAATAAATATAAACATCTATAAATATAAAATTTTTAATCATCATAAATGTCAAAGTCATAAGGAACAGAATGAATCGAATCTTGTGAATCATCTGAATCATAAATTGTAATTAATTTAGTTTTTAAAAAAATTTCCTCACAATATTTTGCAATATGTCCAGGTTTTTTGCACCTGTAGCACCTTTTTTCTTTCAAATAATGTTTGTTTTTTATTTTGGAATTGAATGGCGCTTCTGCATTCAAACTTGATGTGTGTTTATATAATTTGTATTTATTTATTTTGTCAACTTCTGGCAAGTAATATTTTTCAAAATAATAATTTGGATTTGAATTAAAATAATTGAAAATTAGATCAATTGTTTTTGGATCATTAGTTTCTCCGAACAAAATTTGAGAGTAGATATTTTTAATCTTATTATTAATCATGATTTAGTGTTGTATTTAATTTTTTTTTTAAAAAAAGTGATTGAACGAATTTAATGAACGGATTCATTCATTTATATATATAGAAAAATTGTTACATGGTTTTACTGATTTGAATGACTAAAATGAAATTCTATGATATTAATCAATTTGGTATTGAGGTTGTAAGATTGAGCATGAAATTTTTACAAGAAATTAATTTCTATAATACTAATCAATTTGGTATTGAGGTGCAAAGAAATTTTACAACGGAAATTTAGATAAAATTCTATAATAATAGTCAATTTAGTATTGTGGTTGTTTTTTTACAACAGAAATTTAATTATGGATACTAATAAATTTGATATTGAGGTACAAAAAAATTTTAGAACGGAAATTTGGATAAATAATTAGGATGACAAAAATTAATTTAGTATTGTGGTAGTGGGTAGTACAACAAATATTTACAGATCTACATAGCAATAGTAAATAGATGAACGTGAAAAATTGAAATTCACGTTAATGGAAATCATTGAATAGTTGTAATAATTGAAGTAATTGTTTTGCAAGTCCGTTTTAATAGAAACCATTGATTTAATCCAATTAAAGAAAAATTGATTTAATTGAATGGTAATAATAAAAATCATCAACTTGTTCTGTTAAAGGAAAACTGATTTGGTTGAATGGTAATAATAAAAAT